TATACCACTCCATCTGACCTTGAGGTGCTTCCTTCAAGAGAAAGGCAAAAAGAAAATGTACATACAGGCAAAACATATATGAATGACCTGACACAAGCTATGGTTTTTCTGACTCACGGAGCCAGGGATCTTAGGACAAAGTCTCTGGGATTTAAGGGGGTGATTACTCTCCACCAACAGACAAATTGGATTATTGCTTTTCAATCCAATTAAATTTTCCAGATCACATTTCAGAGGCCTCATTGTTTACCTGTAGAAGTTCACTGCAGTAAACACCATACTTGGATTGAACAGCTACCGACTTGCCAGAGAACACATATTATGCCCTCAGCAACTATTCCTGAATATGCCCCTCTGTTCCTGCCTTACCAACGTGTGTCTATTATCTGAGTTGTCTTCCAAAAGTCTCCAAGGTGCTCCAGATGAAGCCGAGTTTCAGACCAAGCCCTTAGTAATTCTGTCCTAAATTGAACATACTGGCTGACTTGGTTCAGGCTGCTACCTTACAACAGCTGTTTCCACAGCGAGACGCTCAGCAGCGGTTCTATGCAAGAAAAAGGGCTTAAACAGAGAACACTTAAAAAGGGAACAAAAGCTAATAGTATCATGTTTGCCAGTGACATCTTGGGAGAACCCATGGGTATTAAACAGAAAACAAAGAGCGCCAATATAATATGCCCTTCATTCAAGTGCACATGTACGTACACCAAAACACGGCAATCCCCTTTTAGCGGGAATATTTGTGGTGGAAATAATTACTGTATACTTATTACTGCTGGAGCTGTGGCCCAACAGGGGAATAGGGTAGAGCTGCTGGGGAGCCAATGGGCATTCAGCAATTTACAATGGTCTCAGTTTGTTCTACCTGGAGAGAGGGGTGTATATTTTCAAATATCACGTTTAATTAACACTCGAGGAAGGGAATGAAACGGCTCACACCAGTAATCCTAGGCAGCCTTTGTATGGAGCAGATGAAGGGGAAAGAAATGTGATTAGGCGCTGGCCTTAAGTACAGTTTCCGTAGATTTCTGTTCTTCTCTTTACCGTATAATAACACGGCTTAAAATTAGTTCTGACAGCTAATCAGAGCGAGTGGCCTTTTCTTTCCCCCCTGGAGCGGTTAACGAGTGCTGTGCGTTGTGCCAACAAACCACACTGCGGCGTCCATGTAGGAAGAGAAGGGGACTGGTTGGTTCCTCCATGGTGGAGAACTCTGAAACTCCTTTGTCAGAATCAGAGTCTTCTGGGGTATGAGAGGCTGCCATGGTCCACGGGAGTCTGGAGTCATCCTAACCCCATCACTGAATAAGGCAGTTTTTCCTTCTCTTCTGGCTCTTACATCCCACCCCATCCTTCTCCGCCATCTCTCCCTCAGTTACCTCTGCCTCTGAGGGCTCACTGGAAATCTGCCCTGTAGAAATAGAGGGATGGACTAAATTTAGGCTGTTTGGTGAAGGGTGGAAAGAAAGAAATAGAACCAACAGCCTTTCTAAGAGAAGGGTGTTTGAGGCTGAGGCTGAACACCTGTGTTTAACTGGGACAAGTTCAGCCAGGTGAGTAGCAAGGCTCTCTTTCTTTCGCCAAGGGCTGTCTGTCTTACTCTTATCCAAAGACAGATGTTTCTTTCCCCAAATTCAGAATCTCCTTCCTGGTTTGGGAGGCAAGAGAACAATCATTGCCCAAAGGGAAATGACGGCCTGGAATGAGAGTCAAGATCTCTCCATGTTCCCATATGAAAGCAACAACAAAGATTCCTTTGGTTGTAGTACCTGGTCCCAACACAGTCCACAAGCCTACCCCAGAGGCGGGCCACATTCAAAATCCTAAGTCCCACGGGATCAGTTCTAGTTATCTCCTCTCTAAGAAGAGGATTAGGGGAAAGGTTCTAGGCTTAAGATTCAAATAAGGCCAGCTGAGGCCTGCAATGTGGGCAGGTCCTCTAAGCCAAAAGGAGGTAGGTCGAAGTGAAGACGGTTGGGGGCACAGCCAGGTCCCAGGAGGTTCTTGACTGGATTTAGGGAATAGTTCCCTTTAAAGTTGTTTTGTGAGGGGAAAGAGGAGCTCTTGAGTTCAGTAGTTTTAAAGTTTTACTGGGGTTAGAGTACAACTGTCCTGGCTTCTCAGGGCTGTCTGCGACCATGGCCCTGCAAAAAGAGACAAAAAAAGAGGAAAGTTTTAAATCAGTTTTAAAAAGGCACACCTGGTATTAATTATAACCAGGCATGATGACACACACCTTAAATCCCAGCTCTTGGGAGACAGAGGCAGGCAGATCTGAGTTCAAGTCCCCGCTTGTCTACATAACAAGTTCCCGGCTATCTGGGGCTACATAATAAGAGCTTGTCCCAACTGGAAACAAGCAAATCTCATTAAAAATCAATCATGATGACACACAGCCAAGCATTTCAGAGGACAGAGCAGAAGGTTCTTGAGTGTGAAGCCACTCTAGACCATTCTATAAGACTTTCAAAAAGCCAAAAAAAAAAAAAAATCAAAACAGATGAAACGAAAAGCACAGGCTACATCTAAGTTGAATTGACAGTTTCCTTTCTTATTGGATAAAAATATACATAAAACATATTTGAGTCATTTTCAGTGTGTGGCTCAGTGACATCAAATGTATCTGTAAGATCATAAACCATCAATGCTGACTTTTTCCAGAATGATTTCAAAACTCTACAAGAAAACTGCACAGTCGGCTACTCCCCATTATCTGGCTGCCTTCTAGTCCCTAGCCAGGACCCATCTGCTTTCTCTTATCTGTTTATGCTGGACACTTCATTGCCATGGGCTCGTATTAGGTATAAGTTGTTTCCTGTCTTAATTCACAGAGCACCATGTTCAAGGTCACTGGTATTTCAGAATGTCATCTGTGTTTCACTCCAGTCCACATCATCAAGACCCTGTTTTCTTTATGTGTGCAGCAGTCAGGGAATATTTGGGTTAGTTTGATGTGTGAACACTCTTATGAGCACTTGTGTGCAACTTTTTAAAAAAAGTATTGATTTTACGTGTGTTTTGCCTACGTCTATTTCTACATATCACAAGTGTGCCTGGCATTCTTGAAGGTCAAAGAGGGCATCTGATACCCTGGCACTGGAGCAATGGACAGATGTGAGCCACATGTTGGTGCAGGAACTCAAACTCAGGTCCTCTGGGAGAGCAGCCGCTGTTCTTAACCACTGAGCTATCTTTCTGTGCAAGCTCACACTTGGTTTCCTGTCTTCAATTCTTTGGCCATCCCTAGGAGTAGGATTGCCTAGTCGTAGGATAATTCTATGTTTAACATAAATAAGGGGTCACATTTTCTTCCACAGAGGCTGGTACAATCTCAGTATTGGTGTATGTAGGTGCCAGCTTTGAAACATGCACACACACACACACACACACACACACACACACACACTCTCATCTGCATTGTTGCCATCACCACCATCACCCCAGCGGAGAAGAGCTGTTTCCTCACCCCTTTGGTGTGCATTTCCTTGAGAACTATGGGTTCTGAGTACCTATGCTATGCGACTGCTGGCTATCGCGATGTTTTCTTGCAGAAACGACTTTTCAAGTTCCTTTGCTTATTTTGCTTTTGTGCTGCTGAGTTGCAGGTATTTATGAATTTTGAGTACTCGTACTCGGCCTTTATCAGAACACAACTTACAAATACCCTTTATTTCTGTGGTTTGTCTATTGATTATAGTCAGATACATGGGATTTTTTTCTAAAAGAAAACAAAGATTCATTCATTCATATTTATTTATTTATTTGTGTAGATCAATGCTTTGCTTCTACTGCCCATTTGTCTGGCATCCATGGAGGCCAGAAAAGGATGCTGTACGCCCTGGGGTCCCACCCTGTGGGAATAGGGATCTGAACTCTGCAAGAACAGAAAATGTGCTTAATTGCTGAGCTGTCTCTCCAGCACCCACATTCTTTTTGAGGGGCAGTGGTGGTTCAAGACAGGGTTCCTCTGTGTAACAGTCCTGGCTGTCCTGGAACTCACTCTGTAGGGCCAGACTGGCTTCGAACTCACAGAGATCCTCCTGCCTCTGCCTCCCAAGTGCTGGGGTTAAAGGTATGCGCCGTCACCTCCCAGCAAAGCATTTTTTGTTTTTAAAAGGGTAGATGATGAGCAAAGCCCTCAGATGCTGCTGAAATGAGAGGTCTCCTCCCATCAGTTACTTCTCTCCTGGTCTCTCCTAAGCAGCCCACATCCAACTTTTCTCTAATAACTACGAACCACAAACATGGTGTGAAGATTCTCATCTAAGACCCAGATGTCCTCTATGTGTTTTCTCCTGTCTGTGTGGGTGCCCTGTCTCATAAGTGATAGTACTTCTGTTTTCCAGGTGGTGAAACGGAGGAACAAATACTTCAGTGAATGCCCTGAGGTCTTGCTGCTCATAGCAGCAGAGTCAGGATGCAAACCCAAGTCTATCCAGCCTGACAGCTCGACCAGCCCATCCACGGTTTGTAAGCTGCTGTTCTGGGGCGCTACAGTGCCTCCATGTGCCCGTGAAGCCTTTCTGCTCACAAGGAGGAGGGTCAGAAGAGGGTTCAGGTCTCCGGAGCCATCATACACCCCAACCACGGCAGCTTTGCTTTGATTTCTTTCATAATTTAGGACTCTGGAATCAGATTTTGGTTGAGAGAAAAGAAAGGAGGAGGATGGCGCTTTTAAAAGGGTTTGGAAAATCACAGTGAACTGCCGCCGCTTTGGAGAACAAATCCCAAAGCCCTTGTCACTTCCCGTGACACAGAGGTTTCAATAAAGGACACCCAGTTCTAAGCTGAGAGACGGAAAGGTAGCATTTGTTTGGGCACGCCTACACCTACACATGTGCACGCACGTATCCATACACTCCCACATCTATCTTTATCCCCCGATTCATGCCCGTTGCTGGCCCAGGACAATGCCAGCCGTAGAAGGAGTTGCCTCTAAACTCCCACTCACTAGGAAAAAAAAAAAGTAGTGGCCTCACCCACACTTCCCGGCAGTCCCAGTTGCCACCATCATCAGTCAGGTATGCTGCCTGCTCACCTGTGAAAGGCTTCTCAGCAGCCAAGCCATTCTCCAAACCAAAGCTTCCCATCTCTTTCTTTGCCTTTCCATTAACAAAATGAGTTACCACCAGCCCCTCCGGAGGGCCTTAGCTTTTCATCATCTCTAGTGATGAGGCTGAAATCCAGGAAGAGCCATCCGGAGGAACCCTGACAAGGTGAAGCCAAGTCCCAAGAGAAATAGCTCGCAGGTGAGTGTCCCTCCTTCCTGCCTGGCTGCTGGCCAGGACAGAGAAGGCTGAGAGAAATCAGGGGAGGGGCCAATGGACCACCCACTCCTACAGGGCAGTTTTTATCTTCCAGTTAGAGAGCTCATCTTGGTAGGGCAGGAAATTCCCCCTGGCCACTGCAAATCAGGTTGGATCTCTGCGTTTTTCGTTGGTAGAAGATTCAGGTAGCTAAGGTGAGTTTTGTGTATGAGGTTCAACAGCCCATGCAGATGAACCGTCGCTGGGAGGGGGAGACTTTGAAGTGGATGGGGAGAGAGGTCGATTTTGTGTAGCTTCCTAGGGCTATATCTTGATTTTTCTGAACATTTTCTGTGTGCCAATAAATCACTACCAGATGTCTGCTCAAATATAGTTCACGTGTGAGATTCTGTGACAAGGTTCAACGCTATTAACTATTTTGGGAATGATGGGAAGAGGTATTGGAGAGTGTCCCTGCCCACTAGATAAGTTAGATCCGGGGCAGAATATCTTTTCATCTCTATCCCTATCTTCAACTAAACAGTGCATAAGGAAACTTGTTTGCTTGTTACCCCCAAAGATTCCCCAACTGGCTATGGGCATCTAGCAACAATTCTCTAGCTAGATAGTGATTTCTGGTTCCTTTAAGAAAGAGCCAGGGCAGACAGGGACTCACAACCCACAGATTAAAAACTGCAGAGTCACAGGTGGCAGGAGGCTGTTCTCAAAAGCGTCTCCAGTGACTTGCCTGGGCACCTCTCCTTCTGTAATTCTGCCTAAACTTTTTCCAACTCCCAGTTATAGTACCTCATTAGCCAACTAACATTTGACTCGTGGGACTGAGAAGGACGCTGGAAAAACATACCTTGTATGACAGGCTCAGCTGCAGAGTGACCAACCACTCTGGAAGACCTAACCCATACTGATCAAAGTACCTAGGTGTGTCTCGCTGCCTCCAGCCACCATACACACCCACACTAGCTGTGCTCGACCCGCCCACCCAACTCCAGTCCCCAGACACACCTTTTACCATCTTTCTTCTGTGCAAAGCTTAGAGATGCAAGTGGTAACGTATTCCCTTCTTTGCAAGGGGAAAAGTCTTAGAGTAACACGAATAGACCTTTAGGGCAGACAAGGCTGCCTGATTTCCAAGATCTCAGATCCTCTGACATGCTACAGGGCTTAGTCTTTCAGTGGCACATGATCCATCTGGGAGCATGGGGGAGAGTGGAGAAGGCTGTACAGCCCCTACACACACACACACACACACACACACACACACTCACACTGATGGGAAAGTGCTATTGACTCTATCATGACAGGCATGCATGATGTCTATCTGCTACACCTGTAACAGTTCTTTGGGTTCTCCAGGGATGAAATTAGCTGGTAGACCACCTGCAGAGCACAACAGGGAGGGGGGATGTGTTTGCATGAGTACATGTTACCCCAGAATGAGTGAGGTAGCATGGGATAAGGAAGAGCAGCCAAGTGCAATAGCAAGAGACGCCGTGAAGATGTGATGACTGCCCTTGGTTTTAGTTTTGTTGTTCGTTTGTTTGTTTTTTGGTACATACACAGCAGACATCAGGGATGCTGGACAGGTGTTCTGGGGATGTGGGCTAGAATATCCCCAGGATTCTGTACCAGGTTTCAATGAAAAGGAAATAAAGATTTACACTTGAGGATATGCATTATTGAAATAAGGAGACAAGAAGTAATCTTTGTTCACATGAAATGAGCCTCCCAAAGTCCTGACCTTATTAGTGGACCCTCATAACAGAGACTACGGGCAGCACGTGGGAAAGAAAGCGCACACGGTCGTACTGTGTTAGACACTGAGAATGCAGTCAGAACAGACACGCTCACTCTATTAGCTACAGCGTACAAATGAGTATGAACAAAGAGAAAGAGCTGACTAATTATGCTTATTAAATTTGTAAAAGATCATTCCCCTCTTGATCATTTCTCAAAAAGAATAAAGATGATGGGTGTTTAAAAAATTACACTAGGTTTTCATGAAGAAAATACACCTGAAATACTATATTATTTCTATTTCATACATACATACATCAGTTTCATCAGTACACTATCCAGGGTCCTACTTTCTGAAAACCTGTGTTCATGCTGGAATGTGGACAGAGAGAGTGTCCTCATCTGCATCTGTAGACTAGTCTTGTTAATCTCAAGGAAACCTGGCTGTGGGAATCAACAGAGTTGTGGCATTTTGCAAGCTATAATTTCAACACAACAGCATTGTCTGTCCCAATAATTATCCAAGTTATCTGGAAAGGAATGAGCAAATCTTTGTGAAAATAAACAAAGTATTTAAAAAATGGCTTCTGGGAGATTCTCTCAGGAAACCCACACCTGGGCTCTCTGGCGTCATTCTACATGTCTCTTCTGGCCCCTTATGCTTAAAATCTATTTCAAAGCATCTTTATTAATCTCACATATATATGCACAGTATTGTAAAGAACATTCATAATATTCGCTGCAATGTTTGCCTTTGGGGAAGGAAGTTTTGCTTTCTTTATTTAAAATATATGTTGGAGTTTTGCCATGGGTGTCGGATCCCCTGGAACTGGAGTGACAGACAGTTGTGAGTTGCCATGTGGTGCTGGGAATGAACCCAGGTCCTCTGGAAGCAACCAGTGCTCTTATCCTCTGAGATGTCTCTCCAGCCCCAGGAGGTAAGTTTTAATGCTGAGGTGATAAATTAGAAGGAGAGTTTCGTTTTAATGTAAACCCCCTTTGCATATTTTTAGAAACAGCATTTCTTGGGTCCATACCCAAGGAAAAAATATTAATTCTTTACTGTTTGTTTCAAAACAAAGGCACCCTCTGTAGTCCAGGATGCCTGGGACTTGTTATTCAGTCTGCCTGGGTGTATGTAAGATCTGGAGAGTAGGTTCAGCTGTGCGGAGTCTATTGCTAAGCCTTAAAAGCTTTAAAAAAAAAAAAGTTAACCAAGCTCCTGTTCACCTTAAATACTTTCCTTGAAGCAATGAGCACATTTGGATACCATATATTGTTTGTGCTCTTGGTCGGGAGCTTCAGTAATGAGATGCGTCTTGGGATCCAGATTCACACTTGACCTAAGTCTCATTAGCCGTGAGCCAAAATTTCCAACTGAAACAATTCCAGTTACACACTCCTCCCCCCCGCCCCCCGCACTCCCTCCCTTCTTCCCTCTCTTTGTCTTTTTAGTGTTTTGAGGCAGGGTTTCTCTCTATGTCCCTGACTGTTGTGAAACTCACTTTATAGACCAGGCTGGCCTCAAACTAAGAGATCCACAGGCCTCAGCCTCCTGAGTGCTGGGATTTAAGGTGTGCACCACAGACACTGGGATCAATGGAAGTGTTTCTTTATGGAAAAGGCAACAATAGCACAGTTGTACAAATTCAGAAATACTTCTTTGTAGGTATAAGACTTAAATGATAATTTCCAAAAGACTATTTAGTTTATTGAGGATAGACATACTCAAAGCAAGTTTCTTTGAGACAGAAAAGGAAAATTAATCGTCATTGTTTGGTTTCATGGAAACATGAATCTACACTCTGCACCAATTACCTCACTCATTCCCATCAGCTCTGGGACCAAGTTCATGCTCTGTGAAGTTTCGTGTTGTGAAGGTTGGGTTGTTTTATCCAGTGCCAAGCTTGTATTAGTGGTCAGCTGATTTTACTTCTCCCACAATGCTGGGTATATGAGAACAGCCTCCATGGGGTGAAGGCAAGGTCTCCAGGCAAAGGCTGATTCTCCACCCTTCCTCAGATAAATTAAGGCAGAGTATTTGGGCATGGGGTTGGGGATCCTATTTTAAGATGAACTTCCCATGTACTTCTTATGCGCAATTTGATGAATTTTGCTAACCACTGTCAAAAACAGAGGGGAATTTGTTAAGACCAAAAAATAAACTCATCACACATGGTGTGGCATGCCTATAATCATAGCATGAAGGAGGCTGAGGCAAGAGAACCGGGTGGTTAATTTAAGGCCAATATGGAGCTGGAAGTCAGCAGAGAGACTGTTCCTTGAAAAGAAAACAAGCCCAGGCCTGCGGCCTTGACTTTACACTTGTGATCAAGTCAGTGATTGTGACTCTGGTCCCCAGGACTCCCCTCCAGTGACCAGAAATGCAGACTGATTACATGGGAACCACACAATACAAGCGATAAATTCCTAGCAATAAGGGATTTTTTTTAAACAAAATGTTATCAATCTCTCCTCATTGTCTCAAAAAGGCCGGAGACATCACTACTTATAGGGCCACTGGGATTCAGGTGACAAATATTGCTTGCAACTAGAAATGTTGTACAAGGTGACATAGTTTTGAGCGCACTGGTATCGTGTTCAGAAAGTTTCTGCTCTCAGATTTTCACGTTAGAAGTGCCTCGCCAGTGAGGTCTATGCAACGTCCCTCAATTGGAATGAATCCGAAACACTTCTGATTCAAAGCATTTCAGAAGAGATAACAAAGTGACGTGGACCACTTTCAAAGCAGTGGGTTCTCCGAAATAAGGGAAGAATGGCTTATTAAAATATGGATCGGCCATAGTTATCAATCAATATACATATACGAGGAGCAGAACGCATCTCATGTTTGTAGTGCTAGGACACAAAATCGCGAGAGTTTGGAAAAGAGAGTTCTGTTCCTTCCTCTAGGAGCCTGATAGTTGGGATCAGTTAAAGCAACAAGACATAAACTGCAATGTTACCAGTACATAGTCACATGTGACCCCTCTTAAGACTGATTTGTGGTTTAATAGAAGAAAATACCGAAAGGGCTCCATTTCCAGTGAGAGGGTTCAGGCTCTCATTGAGAGGTTAGGTGGGCTGTTGGAAAGCGCAAGCCTATAGCAGGAAAATGAAATTCAATTTTTTAAAAAATTAAAAAAAAACTTGAATCAGAAATGGCCTAGAATCAGGAACACAAGGCGGTTATAACATTTTAATGAGGCAAGCCAATAGCCTCTTACTCTCTGATGAGCTGAAAAAAT